CTTTTCGACTTTGTCCTGGCGGCTAGTCGCACGTTTGCAGTACAATTCCTTTTTTTCACAACCACACATTGAGCTTGGGATGTTCCCCCTTGTACTAACCGTCTTTCATCGGGATTGTAAGAGGGGGGTACGATAATCCCATTAAGGACTGCTAGTATAAGGGGAACATCCCAACATGAGCCAGGACGTAGCAGTCTGCAAAACAACCACGCATTCAGCCAAGACGCACCAAGATGTAACATTCAGCCAAGACGCACCAATAAGCAACACTATGCCACACTTTAAAGCCAAGACACAGCGCACATTGGGCCAAGCAACACCAAGGACAAAAATCATGCATTCAGCAAAGACTCACCAACGAAAAGACACGTTGACCCAAGACGCACCAACAAGCAAACCACCCACACAAGCAGCCAAAATGCACCTAGAAGCAAAACAACCACACATTCACAACTTCCGTAGCACATGAGCAATCATGCACACACACACACGTTCAATTCAGCCAAGACGCACAACCACGCAAAACACATTCAGCCAGGACGCACCATTGAGCAAAACTGGCACACATTGTGGAGCGTGCTAAAGACGAAACCATGAGGCCAGTCATGATATGAAGTAGTGTATATATTTCTTGTACCCCCAAAAGGACATCCAAGGTATACACTCACCAATATTAAAAAGGAACCTTACAGCCTTACATACACTCACCAAAACAGTAATATAAACCCTGCTTCATATTCCGTATGGTTCATTAGAACAGGAACACACTGGGAGCATTTGACACTGCAGCGGTAAAATTCGGGGGAACGACCTCATACGCTACACATTTAAGGGTTCCGAAGAATTTCCAGAAGATGCTGAGAAACCTGGACCCTGCGTTTTCGCTGTAACGCTGCAGCACAGTCAACACCTAAAACCTTTAGGGTTTAGGGTTTAGGGTTTAGGATTCAAGGGTTTGGGCTTGGGTTTAATGTTTAGGGTTTATAGAAATTGTACAGGGTTTGGGCCCCAAGAACGTTTGTACTGAAACGTTTTTATATACTGCGACGCATTTTTGCCGAAACGTTTCTCGTTTAGAACCTGTTCTGATTCTTCCCCACCCTCGGTGTGTGGTTGTTAGATTTTAAACTCAACTCTTCTCCTCGCCCGGAACTCCTCTCCTCGCCCGGAACTCTTCTCCTCGCCGGTCTACTCCTCGGTCATCCCTGGAGTGCCCAACCCCAAAGTGTCCCTGGAGTGCTGCGGAGTGCCCAGCCCCAGAGTCTCCCGGAGTGCCCAGAGTCTCCCTGGAGTGCCAACCCCAGAGTGTCCCTGCTGAACTCCAGAGTCTCCCTAGAGTCTCCCTGCAGTGCCAACCCCAGAATCTCCCTGGGAGTGCCCAACCCCAGACAGAGTGTCCCCGGAGTGCCCAGCCCCAGAGTGTCCCTGGAGTGCCCAACCCAAAGTATCTCTACCAAGAGAGGGTGGGGATGTTCGAAGTAAAAAAAAATTGGGAGTGGTGCACTGGAGGGGGCGGGGTTGGGGTGGGTTCCTCAGGGCGGGCTGGACCTACTTTCCAAAGGTTTTGAGGGGTCCGCAAGAAAACTCAACATGGGGTCTACGGGGTCGCTGCCCCCCAAGCCCCCGACCCCCGCCAGAATTTGCATGTGGACCTCGACAGGGGGACTCTCGACCTGCGTTACAGAAATTGTATGGGGTTTGGGTCCCGAAAGCGTTTTCAACGAACATTTCCAAGGACACGTTTTCCACGAAACGTGTTCAACGAAACGTCTCGCTTTTCGTTCTCTTCATAATCTTTGAATCCTATACCGGGGGGTTGGGGCTTGTGGGCCCCAATAACGTTTTGAACGAACGAAAGTTTTGAGCGAAAGTTGTTTTTTCAGAGCCTCATTTCTATTTTTTGGGGGGTTCCCGGCCCTGGCTTCCTGAGACTCTTTGGGCAGCCTTTTGGGACGGACGCTTGAAGGCAACCTCCCAGGGCCTGCCTCCGGATGGAATTCTGCTTGTCAGCTGTATACAAATAACTTGGGAAATTCAGAACGAAACCACAAACAATTTCTGTTTATTTTGTCTTGAGGGTTTATACAAAGTTTAGGGCAGCTTAGGGTTTAGGCTTTGGGGCCGTGGGACACATTTTCGGGTTTAGGTTTAGAGTTTCGGGGGTTTAGGGTTTAGGGTTTCCTAAACCCTAAACCCGAAACCCGAAAGCCTAAAGCCTGAAGCTTAAAGCCTAAAGCCTAAAGCCTAGAGCCTAAAGCCGAAAGCCTAAACACTAACCCCCAAACCCTAAACCAAAACCGTGGGGCTTACCCGGATCCTGCCTGCATCATCCACTGCATCCAGGGCCGCCCCGGAATTCAGCAGAAGCCGGAGGGTGGGTTCTCTGCCGGCGGCTGCCGCCCAATGCAGAGGCTGCACGCCATACTCATCCTCAAGCCACTGTCTAGTATTTCATCAAATATCACAGATTAACAATGAAACTGGAGATGAATCGGATAGATCCATTACATAATGATGACTCCACGAAATGCAGCTGGCAATCCCCCTTTCGAGAGGCCTGTCCATTCAGGCGTCGAGGGGAGGAGGTGGTGTCCAGTTGTTTGCATTATCGTCCGACCCAAAGCCCAAACCCGAACCCGGAATGTTGCAGTCCCCCTAAAAGAGGGGACCATCCGGTGGAGACCCATGTTTAGAACAACTCCCCCGAAACCCTAAACCCTAAACCCTAAAACCCTAAACCCTAAACCCTTTAGTGGCCAAGCAACCTTGGCGTCAACCTGCGCACGGAACTCAATCAGAACCCTGACGACATCCTCATCCTTGTCGTTGTATCGCGCTGCCTGCAAAAACTGCTTCTTTGGGGTGCAGGGGAGGTTTAGGGTTTTAGGGTTTCAGTGTGTTAGGCTTAGGGTTTAGGATTTCGAGTGTAGGGGGTTCTAGCTCTGCTTTGACAATGCGCCAATGCCAGCGGAACTGTCCCTGTTTTTGAGGAACACGTGACCCTTGCGTATTTGAGGGCCCTTTACTGCTATGTGCTATAGAACTTTCAGGATCGTTGCTGGGTGTTGGTGCATTTTTCTCATAAATGTTTGAAACCGTTCCATGCTAGAACGAAAAGGTCCACCCTGTGGGCGTTTCCTATACGATAGAGCAATGCAGACGAGGGTCATAATCAACCCTAATCCCTAAACGCTTAACCTAAACCCTAGCAATGCAGACCAGGGTGATAATGAACCCTAAGCCCTAAGCCCTAAGCCCTAAGCCCTAAACCCTAAACCCTAAACCCTAAACCCTAACAGTGCAGACCAGGGTCATAGTGGAGCGGTTGGCGACCTCGATCGTCCACTGCGTTCAGCTCCCGATTGGACTGATTGAGAAGCTGGCGAATCTCGGTGCCTTTCCTGTGATGCCAAGCGTGTGTTTAGGGTTTAGGGTTTAGGGTTTAGGGTTTAGGGTTTAGGGTTTAGGGTTTAGGGTTTAGGGTTTTGGGTTTAGGGTTTAGGGTTTTAGGTTTAGGGGTTTAGGGTTTAGGGTTTAGGGTTTAGGGTTTAGGGTTTAGGGTTTAGGGTTTAGGGTTTAGGGTTTAGGGTTTAGGGTTTAGGGTTTAGGGTTTAGGTTTGGGGCTTAGGTTTGGGGTTTATCCAATGCAGCCACCGCCCACACTCGCCCACGCCGACCCCCACCCCTTGCCGCCACTACTCTTTTAATCCCCACCTCTTACCCCCCCTAAACCCTAAGCCCTAATGTCTTATCCTAGCAGTCCTGAATAGGGATTATAGTAGATGAAGGTCTGTTAGCACAAGGGTGAGCATCCCAAAGGAATCCTTTTGTGTAGGGGCCAACATGGTTAGAACAGGGCTTTCGGGGATAACGGAACACTCTTAGTAGTTATTCCTACACCTATATTGCCCACGCTGACTGTCTCGCGGAGGCTGAAATGATTTCGGAGGTTGAAAGCTTCTTCGGAATGGGACTGGGCTTTTCGGGTTTAAACCCCCCTTCCCCCCAACACTCGCTCCCCCCTACTTCTCAGCCACTACCCTACTCCCCGCCCCTTTCCCCTACTTTCCTACATACACAATGGCATTCTTAACCACCGAATCACGACAACCTGAAACTTCAGGGTTTAGAGGGGTTTAGAGGAGCTTAGAAGGGCTTAGGGGGTTTAGGGTTTAGGGTGTAGGGTTTAGGGTTTAGGGTTTAGGGTTTAGGGTTTAGGGTTTAGGGTTTAGGGTTTAGGGTTTAGGGTTTAGGGTTTAGGGTTTAGGGTTTAGGGTTTAGGGTTTAGGGCTTCAAACGGAATTACTTCATTCTGCGCCTGTCTTGGCGCCAGAGCGTTGCAAAGATTCGCCATCAAAGTCGCGAAGCCACTTCAGAAAGCACTCTGAAAACGATCACAGGACTCCCTTCTTGAAGGCATTCGCTTCATCTGCAGCACACCCCTCACACGGCCCGGAACCCGATTCACCCTAAACTTTCGAACCCCGCTTTAGGAATTGTTGACATTTTAGACGACCTTGCAAATCGAAGGAACATGTATTAGGGGAGGAACACCCTGAGCTCCATGCTCATTCCCTAGCCCGTGAGCCCTAAACCCTAAACCCCAAACCCTAAACCCTAAACCCTAATTTAGGGTTTTACCCTGAAGCCCGGGTCTTGACTTTTCTCCTTTCGAGCTGTACCCTGTTGGGCTCAAAATCCTCTGGGGATATGAGTAGTTATCCATATATTGTGCATTCATTGCACAAGTGCCCCTCAATCCATTGACTGAGGCGCGAAAAACGGACAAACCTAACAAGATCTTCGTCTGGGCAGACTGGAAGGAAACAGAAAGGAAACGGATGGGATTCTTGCGAGCTCGCTTGCCACTGCTGTTTGACCACTCGCAATCATGATGATGCAAGGGGCTGTGATCTGCCGAAAAACATGCATCTTCATCCGGATCTCAACTTTCGTCGACCGTAGATGAAGGGTCCTATTCCCAGTTTGGTTTAGGGCCATCATGGGTCGTTTGAGTGTTCAGAGTTCGATGTGCAAGGCTTCTGGCTCCAACAACCGAAGCACCGTTGAGGCTCACGTCGCAACAGGATTGCTGTGACAGTGCACCATGACAACAGTGAGATCACAGACAAGAGAAGCCCGCGGTCGTCGCCCCCCCGATCGTGTTGGCGGAAGACATAGATTTGGATGGCATAGCAAGCGGCATAGAACGAAAAGGCGGCGATCACGATGGCCATTGACACAAAGAAGTCCAAGCATAGATTGCGGCATCGTGCTCGCAAACGGAAGCATAACCGGAAGACCAGTTTGTCCATCAAAGGGAAGATTGCCAGGAAATGGGTGAGCGATTGTACTAGATAGACTACTTGTTGGAGGGGGTCGCTTGAATAAGAAGCTGTTTGCTCAAGACGAAACCAGATGAACGGAGTTGAAAGCACCAAGATGCGCTGATAAGAGATGGCTCCGTATGCAAGCTGATCGACGATGACCCGTCGCACTTCCGTCTGCACTTGCATTTCAAAGCTGTCCACTGACTTGTACCACGCAACTATGCACTCAAGAATGATCGCACGGTCGCATAAGGAGTCGGGTTCGTCTTCGTGGCCGTTCGCGCAGCAGGCGCTGAGTGTCTCCCCAACCTTGAACACACGGAGTTGCTCTTGCAGTGTATAAACCTTGGTTTCCCAGTCACCGTATTATAATCAGGGCAGTTGGCTACTTTATCAGGCGACCCAAAGCAGAAAAAAAGGGTAAAGGGTACCACTAAGCTACCAAGAAACGCTGCTCGCATATCTTCGAACAGCATGGGTGACCAAGCTGATGAGTGGCAGGGCAATGCTGGCAGAGAGCGGCAAATGTTGAAATCCCACAAGTATTGAACCTTCCGATATCACGAAAGACTCCATGTAGGAATAGATCATGGCAGCTCCCCACATCAGCATCTCACTTCCCAGAAACCTTGGCTGACTTCTGAATCCCTCCCAAAAGCTTCTCACTTTTGGGCTCCTTATTGTAGCATCTACCAACAACCCCAAAAAGTTAAAGTCCCAAGAGCTTGCCTCCAGAAACCCCCAAAAGTTGAAGTCCTAAGAGCCAGCCTACAAAAACCCAAAAAGCTTAAACGTCCTAAGAGCCAGCCGGAAGAAAACCGAGAAACGCAGGCCCCAATAGAGAAAGAACCTTGTGGGCTCTTTCTTGCAGTATCTACAAAAACCCAAACAGCTTAAAGCCCCAAGAGCCAGCCGGAAGAAAAACCAAGAAACGCAGGCCCCAACAAAGGAGGAACGATCTGGAGAGCTGCCTCGCCATCGGGCCGGTGGCTGTGTAGAAAGGCAGCAAGTTCGAAGACGCACCACCTTGGTGGTTTGGGGTTTGGGGTTTAGGGTTTGGGGTTTAGGGTTTAGGGTTTAGGGCTTAGGGCGCAGCCAGGTCGCAGTCTTGTCACCCATGTAGGATCCCACAGAACCAGCATAGACTTCGACTGCTTCAGGAATGCACCCATACTCATGATGGCCTCTCCTGCACCATTGTTTTGGGGTACTATTTAAACATGATCCTGTTTTGTTCCTGTTTGGGGGTTTAAGTAGTCATAAAAATGCGAAAATGGATTTCAACAATGGCCCAGTCTCCCTTTCGTTCTTCATCAGTCTGATGGATGCAAACGATGTCTAGAAACACCAGCTTGCGTGGACACCAAAGCAGCAGCGTTATGCAAAAGGCTACAAACCCGAACAGCATGCACCATGTCCTCAACGCTCCCAGAAGTCCTGCTGAGATGAGGCCGAAAGCTACACTTGCGCTGACTGTTCCTGCAACGCTCGCCGGCAAGCAAGAGTGGAGGTAAAGTATGTTGGTGAACTTGGCCCACCAAGCCCCCTGCCAGCTGTGGGACCAGAACTGATCGAGGGTTGCTGCTTCCTGGCTCAATGAATGCAGTTCGTTAAGTTGGCCTCGCAGCCAAGCCCACGGCAAGCGGCGCAATAGCTTCCAAACGCGCACGCCACGTAGTATTTCTGGACGTGTCGCCTCCATCTTGTTCACGAAGGCTATGTAGAGCTGCAGAAGCTGGGCAGCTTTGTCTCCATCTGCACCTGAAGCGGGTGAACACTCAGACGGTGTCCGTCTGTGGTCATCGATCTCCCAAGCTTCTAAAATATCAGGCGGAAGAGGGCCCTCCATGGCGACCGACACCTCTGGAAGAACTCCCTCCGACTGGGGCTTGCCCGGCACTGTCTCCGAGCTTGGGGGCATGGCTCTGTCGACCCAGCCTCCCTGAGTCATGCTGACAGTGCCTGTACAACTAAGAGTAACTAAGCTCCGAGCACAAGACGGCAAGTCTGCAAAAGTTCAAAAACCTTCTGGTGTGGTCTGTCAAAATGACACTGCATCAATGACACTGCTGTCCAGTGACACTTCAAGTAACCATGTAGACTTCGGGCGCAAGCTTGTGAGGGGGAGCCGGGTGATGTCACGAATCTCTCGGGTTTCGAAGCGAAGCGAGTATACCCACAGCTTCACGCTTGGGCACAGAAAATGCCACGCAGCTCAAAGGTGCTTGAAGAGGAGTATCAAGCAGCGCAAAATGGCGAAGCTTGCGTGCCCGCAACCCCGAACCCTAACCGTTAACCCAAACGACAGCAACAAGAGCTGCAACTGCTGCAGTGCGTCTTCGTCTGCGCCTTCGCGTGCAGCTCGACCCGGCCGTACCAGGACACCCGGCGCGCTTCGCGAGCGGTCATCTCCAACTTGAAGAAGAGGTGGGCATCCACCGCGACCCCTGCCTGTTCGGCCTGCACGTTGAAACCCCTAAACCCCTAAGCCCCTAAGCCCCTAAACCCCTAAACCCCTAAACAGTACACCCAAACCCTAAACCCTAAACCCTAAACCCCTAAACCCTAAACCCTGTGAGCCCTGCGAGTCCTGCGAGCCCTGACCGCTCAACGGAAAACAGAAGAAGCCCCTCGCCTGACGCTGCAGCTTGAGGACCTTGTCAGCCAAGAAAGCCCCGATGCAGAGGTTCATCTGCGGGCGGCCGACCTCGCAATTGGGTTTAGGGTTTAGGGCTTAGGGCTTAGGGCTTAGGGCTTAGGGCTTAGGGCTTAGGGCTTAGGGTTTAGGGTTTAGGGTTTAGGGTGTACGGGTTTAGGTGATCACAATGTAAACAAGAAGCATCATCATACCAACTGGAGTAAAAGTAGGAGAAAATGGTAATACTCGTGATACTGGTAAAGACAACAATACAAACAGTAGCAGGAGCAATTGTTGAAGAAAGGTCAGAGATGTGAATCTTTTCCGGTATCGCCCAAGTACCTAGCAAAACTGACGCTCCATACCAATCTTGGGGTGTGCGGGGAGGGTTTGGGACTTAGGGCAACCCTAAACCCTAACCGCCCTAACCCTAAACCCTAAACCCCAAACCCGAAACCCTAAACCCTAAACCCTTGGGCCTTGTCATCAATCTCTTGCAGGATCGTGGCCATGTCATTCTCGTCAGAAGCCTGTGCCTTACTGTCAAACATTGGGATGTTTCCCTTGCACTAACAGTCCGAATAGGGTCTAGGGTTTAGGGTTCTGGGAGGTTCCCCCTTACACTACAGTACTTAATAGGGACTTACCCCCAATAATAGTTCATATTAAGGACTGTTAGTTTAAGGGGGAACATCCCAACTTCTGGGGCTACCCTGCGAACAAGGTGGGCAACTCGACAAGATATCCCCTACCACTTTGAAAGCCCTAAACCCGAGACCAGAGACCCTGAAGCCTAAAGCCTGAACCCGGAACCCTCCGAAAGCGCAACAAAAGAAGCCCGAAATCCTAGGCCCTAAGCCCTAAAACCGAAAACTCTGAATCCTAACCCTAAAGCCCTATGACCCTAAAACCCTGAAACCCTGAACCCCTAAATCCCTGAATCCCTAAGACCCTAAAACCCTCAACCGCAACAACCCTAACACCCTGTGCCCCGAAAACCCTAAAATACAAAAAATCCTAAGAACCCCCCCCCCCCCCCCCCCCCCCCCCCCCCCCCCCCCGCAAAAAAAAAAAAAAAAAAAAAACTGAAAACCCTAAGAACCCTAAGGACCCTAAGAACCCTAAACCCTAAAAACCTTAAACAAAACAACCTAAAAAAACCCGAAACACCCTAAAACCAATCGTAACAACCTACGCGTCTTCAGAAATGCTGTCAGGATGTCTGCCTGCCACATCTCACTTCCAAACAAGGACGGACCAGACGATATGACTTGCAGCAGACCTCACCCGTGCATAGCCACATAGGCTGTCAGCAGCATGGTGCGCCAAAGGGCCTTCTTACTTGCCTTCAACTCACCCCAAAACCAAAACAAAAGAAAAACCCACAAAAAAAACACTCAAAACACCCAAAATCCCTAAAATCCCTAAGAACCCTAAACACCCTAAAAGCCCTAGAAACCCTAGACAAAGCCGGAAAACCAAAATCCCTAAACCCTAAGCCCTAAAACCCAAAAAACCCCCCACCCCCCCCCCCCCCCCCCACCCCAGCGCCCAAGGGGCGTTGGAGACGTCGACGTTGAGAAGTTGCGCCCCGGTTGGCGAGAGGCGCGCTTGAGCCCGGCGTTGCCGCCGAAGCCGAAGTCTCGTGGCCCACCTTGGTTTAGGGTTTGGGGTTGGGGTTTAGGGTTTGGGGTTTGTTTAGGGTTTTGGAGATTGGGTTTAGGGGTTGTAGATTGGGGTTTAGGGGTTTTGGGATTGGTTTTGGTTGGTTTAAGGGTTTGGGGTTAGGGTTTGGGGTTGGGGTTTGGGTTTGGGTTTTAGGACGAGGGTGTGCACATGATCGTCGTGGGATTGGGATATTAAATGGCCCTATGAACCATGGTGTTTGAAACTTCTGGCAAGTTTAGGTTTGGGGTTTAGGGTTTTTAGGTTTAGGGTTAGGGTTTAGGGCTTAGGGGTAGGGTTTTTAGGGTCTAGGGCTTAGGGTTTAGGGCTTAGGGTTTAGGGTTTAGCCAACTGCACGGGCCTAAACCCTGAAAGCCCTACCCTAAACCCTAGACCCCATCCTCCCCTGGCGAGGGGCAGCGCGAAAGGCAACCTTCGTGCGTGGTGAGGTCGAAGCTAAGCCCGAGCTGGAAGACCCGCATCACCTCTTGACGAGATCTCAGAGCCACCCTAAGCCCTGTATCACACACCTCAAAACAAATAAGACCCTGCACCTAGAACCCAACCCCCCCCCCCCCTCTACAAAAAACGCAAGAAGCGCTCTCTCTCTTTCTTTCTTTCTTTCTGTCTGTCTGTCTTTCTTTCTTTCTAGGGGCTTGGGGCCGAAGCCCCGGGCGTCTTCACCCGCCCCTGTATTTGGGGCTGTGCGTCGGTTCAGTAGGCCCTGGTGCAGCCGATGTTTCGTTCCCCAAAAACCTTCCCCCGTATCTTAGCCCCATGTTACTGCCACGCCCCCATTAGCCCCGGCTGCACGACGGGTCTCCTTGTGTCGGCTCTCTGTTCGAACCGTGGTCGTGAAACCTTGTCTCGGCTGCATGCCTTGCCTCTCCCTCTCTGTCTCTGTCTCCGTCTCCGTCTCTGCCGCGGTCTCGGTCTCTGTCTTTCTGTCTCCTCTGTCTGTCTCCGTCTCTGTCTCTTTCGCTCTCTCTCCACCCTGATGTCCAGCGCCTCATACAGACACCAGATGCGCTTCAGCGTCACCTGAGCCGGCACAAATGAGCTATCGGGAGTGAGTATGTTTTCCCTGGAGGCTGCGATGCAGTTTCTTTTCAGGGAGGCCTACGACATCCCTTAGTAGCCCGGCTTCAGATATGAGGGTTTACGAAAATTAAGGGGACCCCTAATATAGACCCCCCCAAAGAGTATAGGGTTCCCTTTAGGACCCCCAATAAGGTACCCCTAATTTCGGAAGCACCCCCTTTTGCGTGATGGGTCTTGCTGAGGCTGCGGCTAGTTCATCGTCGAGGACCATCACCTTGGCTTCAACTTGAAAGGAACCCCGAAACCCTAAGCCCCAACACCCCAAATCCAAAAACCCTAAGCCCTAAACTCCCTAAACTCCCTAAACTGCCTAAACTCCCTAAACTCCCTAAACCCCCTAAACCCCCTAAACCCCCTAAACCCCCTAAAACCCCTAAACCCTAAACCCTAAACCCCGACTGAAGGATCGGAGTCGCCACACCCTTGCAGACTTTCAACGCCAAGTTGAAGGGGCTCAATGACAAACATGAACCCAAGTCCACATCGTGCTGGCTGTTCGCAAATGAGCCTGTTGGACGTTTAGAGTGGTTTAGGGTTTAGGCGTTAGAGTGCTAGGACGTTTTGGGCTTTTAGGGGTTTGGGGTTGAGGGTTCAAGGTTTTGGGATTCAGGGTTTAGGATGTTCAGGCCTGTTGTGTTCAGGGTCTTGGGCTTAGGGGCTGAGGGCAAGGGCACACGGGCACACAGAAGCACTGCCAGCCCAGCAGCATATCCAAAAAATCGGATCGTTCTCGCCGATGGCCGTGGCAAAACACTGCAAGGCCTTGACGAAGTGCCTGAACTCTTTGCCCCACCAGTGTGAGACAAAATACTCGACCTTGTTTTGCCCCAGCATCTCGGCATAGCTCACCCGTCGCTTGTCCGTCTCTGGAATGATGATCTCCTCGTTTAGGGTTCTAGGGTTCAGGGTTTAAGATCTAGGGTTTCGGGTTTAGGTTGGGATGTTGTTCCCCCGTAAGCTATCAGTCCTTCATAGGGATTAAAATACCCCCTATGATAATCCCCACTAAGGATTGATAGTTTAAGGGGGAACATCCCAAGGTTTAGAGTTTGAGGTTTTGAGGTTTTGGGGGTGCCTTTGGTTCAAGTCAAGATCCGTTTACCAGCTTCGGGTAGGGTTCAAGGTAGGTTCAGGGTCTTAGGGATCAGGGTTCAGCCCTCAGAAACTAAACCAGGGCTTGGGGTTTAGGTTTTGGGCTCAGGGTTAGGGTTAGGGTTTCGGGTTTAGGGCTTAGGGTTTAGGGGGTTTAGGGTTTAGGGTTTCGGGTTTAGGGTTTAGGGTGAAGATCGCCTTGACCACGTCGTGCATATTCCAGCAGCGCCACTTGTTCATGTGAGAGCAGTAGATCAGCCTCATTTCAGTCGAATCGAATCGACGATTCGCACCCCATACCGTGGGTTTGGGTTTAGGGCTTCAGGGTTCAGGGCTGGGATGTTCCCCTTATACTACAATCCTTGACAAGGATTCTCATAAGGGGGTACTTTAATCCCCATTGAGGACTGTTAATCCCAAGTTTAGGGCCCAGGGTTTGTGTTTAGGGTTTAAGGCCTAAACTCTCAGGGTGTTTTGCTCCAGGTTTCGGGGGCTGGCTCAGGCAAGACGCGTCTCCAACCTGGCTTTGTGTGTTTCGTAGATCTTGACCAGCGTGGACAAGCGGATTCCTGAACATTTGCGGTTTCCGATAGTAGGGGGTACCCTTTTTTGAGGGTTCCTATAATAAGGACTATAGTACTTCGGGGTATATTACGGGTACCCCTATTCTGGGAAATGCCCACTTCAGTATCCTAAGCTCATAACCTGACCCCCACAGTCCGACATTCGGCAGCAGGCCGACTAAACCCCTGTTTGAAAAAACAACTGTGCCCTGAACCTACACTATTCCCACCTAAGCCATTTACCATAAGCCCTCAATCTCTTCCACTATCTCTGGTCCTCGAAGCTCAGTTGGGCGCATGCACTTCCCGGCCACGAAGGAAGTGGCCGCAGGCCCCTGGATGGTGATCTAGCTACTTTCGCACATGCGCGCCGGCGAAGGGCCCAATAAATGAAGCCTAAACTCAAGGGTTAGGGTTTAGGGTTTAGGGTTTAGGGTTTAGGGTTTAGGGTTTAGGGCTTAGGGCTTAGGGTTTAGGGTTTAGGGTTTAGGGTTTAGGGTTTAGGGTTTAGGGTTTAGGGTTTAGGGTTTAGGGTTTAGGGTTTAGGGTTTAGGGTTTAGGGTTTGGAGTTTGGGGTTTGGGGTTTAGGGTTTAGGGTTTAGGGTTTAGGGCTTACGGATTAAGGTGATTAATGGCATTTAGCTGATATGTTACGGTAGCGTACGGCCTCGGCTGGCTCCTGCTGAAGCAGGATCAGTAGATCCCGCTGATTCCCAGCCACCGCGCGCTTCCTTGAGCTCGCTGCGGTGGTCGGGGGGTTTAGGGTTTAGGGTTTGGGGTCTAGGGTATAGGGTTTAGGGTTTAGGGCTTCGGAAAGTTGCGGGTTTAGGGTTTGGGGCTTTTGGCGCTGCATCGAAGATAGACAGATAACCGTTTACTACACAAGCCTGTAACCTCGCTCTCAATGGTCGTATTGGTACTACTTCAAAACAATAGCCCTACACTACCCCAAAAAAAGACTCAGGCCCCTTGAAACCCAAAACCCTGACACTTCAACCCTGAAACCCAAAACCCCAAAAACCCTCAACTCATATCTCCAACACCCAACCACCCCAGAAACCCCAAACCACCCTAAACCCTAAACCCTAAACCCTAAACTCTAAATCCTAAACCCTAAACCCTAAACCCTAAACCCTCACCCTAAACCCTAAACCCTAAACTAAACCCAAGCTTCAGGGGAGCTTGCGTGAGCTCGGAGAAGGAAATGTTCCACTCCGACGGCGCAGAGCCGCCCTTCTGCAGCCTCAGAAACATATTAGGGTTCAGGCTTGAGGGTTTAGGGTTTAGGGTTTCGGGTTTAGGGTTTGGGGTTGTAGGGTGCAGTGGCTCTTGGGGGCTTTGTTGGGGTTAGGGTTGCACGGTTCAGGGTTTGGGAGTGTTTAGGGTTTAGGATTTCGGCATTAGGGTCCAGAGCTTAGGGTCTAGGGCGTGACAGTGTGGGAACCTTGCGTTACCCAACACCCGAAACCCTGTTCTAACCCTAAACCCTAAACCCGAAACCCCAAACCCTAAACCCCAAACCTCAAACCCTAAACCCTAAACACTACGGAGCCGGAGGCTTCAGAGCAGATGAGCAGCATGTAGTCCGTGAGCTGATAGAGGCCCTTGACTTTGAACTTCGCGTCCGGCTCAAAGAGCCTGTGCTGGATTAAGGGGTTTAGGGTTTAGGGTTTAGGGTTTAGGGTTTAGGGTTTAGGGTTTAGGGTTTAGGGTTTAGGGTTTAGGGTTTAGGGTTTAGGGTTTAGGGTTTAGATTCTGGGGGGGGGGGGGGGGGGGGGGGGGGGGGGGGGGGGGGGGGGGGGGGAGGGCCTGTAAACAACGCGTCAAGAACTCCACTGATGAGGGTGTAGGGTCTAGGGTTTAGGGTTCAGGGTTCAGGGTTCGCGTTCAGGGTTCAGGGTTCAGGGTTTAGGGTTTAGGGTTTAGGGTTTTAAGTCATTCAGTCGCTGATTTTTTCTGTGGGCTGTATGGGTTTAGAGTTTAGGGCTTCGGCCATAATGGGAAGGTTCGAATTAGGCCCTCAATCCTAGAAATCCTTTCAACCCTACAAACCCTGTAAACGCTATAAATCCTATAAACTCGACAAACCTGATAAACCTCCAAATCCCCTCTAAACCCTTCTGAAACCTTGTAAACCTCTTTAAATTCCCTACAAACCCTATAACTCCCCTATAAAACCTATAAACCCCTCCAAGTCCCCGATAAACCCATGAAACCCCAAAACCTGTGAGTCATCTTCCAGATGCTCAGTTCTTAAAATTAGGGTCCCTTTTAAGCACCCTCAATAAAGTGGGGCCGCCTTACAATAAGGGCCCCCCGAAAGGGACCAAAAATCAGAGAGAAATCACCAGGTCAACCTGAGGAGCAGCTCTTGCTTCTCGGGGAAGTTGGTGTAAGGTGCGACGGAGACGGCTCCTGGGTTTGAGGGGTTGAGGGGGGTTCTGAGGGGGGTTTGAGGGGGGCTTGAGGGGGGGTTTTGAGGGGGGGGTTGAGGGGGGGGTTTTGAGGGGGGTTTGAGGGGGGGTTTGAGGGGGGTTTGAGGGGGGTTTGAGGGGGGTTGAGGGGGCTTTGAGGGGGGGTTGAGGGGTTGAGGGGTTGAGTGGGTTTGAGGGGTTGAGGGTTTAGGGGTTGAGGGTTTAGGGGTTTGGGGTTTAGAGCTGACAGGTGGCACCCCGCATAAGCCTAGCAACTGCGACGGAGCTGCATTTGGCTTGGTGCTTCATGGGGGGATGTTCAAGGCTGCCCTAAAACCCTATACTAAACCCTAAACCCTAAGCCCTAAACCCTAAACCCTAAACCCTAAAGCCTAAACCCTAAACCCTAAACCCTAAACCCTAAACCCTAAACAACCAAAAAGTACACCGCTCTCTCTTGAGAAGGCTCTGGAGTCGATGACCTTGTAGATGACCCCCGCGGAGTTCTTCGGGCGCCCGGCTTGGCAAGCGTCCTCCTTAGGCGTTGGGGGCTTTGAGGTTTGGGGTTTAGGGTTTAGGGTTTGGGGTTCGGGGTTTAGGGTTTGGGGTTTAGGGATAGTGGCTAAGGGTTTTGGGGCTTCGGGTTTGAGGTTTAGAGTTTGAGGGTTTTCGGGTTTTAGGGGCTTTGGTTTCGGGGTTTCGGGTTTCATCGGCTCAGGGCTTATGGCTCTAAACTGGCCGAGGTTGGTAGTGAGGGCATATAGTATAAGAGTTTGGGGTCTCAGGGCTTCAGGGAGTGTAGCGGTGACTGTAGACCCTAAACCCCAAACCCCCAAACCCTAAACCCCAAACCCCCAAACCCTAAACCCGAAACCCCAAAACCCTAAACCCTAAACCCCAAAACCCTAAACCCCAAACCCCAAACCCTAAACCCTAAACCCCAAAACCCTAGTTAACAGCTTGTACCGACTCATCCGCCTGAGCCTCTAAGAGGAGGTTGCTGGCAACGCTTGGGCTGCTCGTGGCGCTTGTGAAGCCCAACCATGTGACCTCTCGAGGGTTTAGGGTTTAGGGTTTAGGGTTTAGGGTTTAGGGTTTAGGGTTTAGGGTTTAGGGTTTAGGGTTTAGGGTTTAGGGTTTAGGGTTTAGGGCTCCCTAAATAGGGTATTTAGGGTTCAGGGTATTAGGGTCTACAGCTCCTCCTAAGCCCCCAACCCTAAACGCGAAACAACGCTAAACTAACCCCAAACCCAAAAACCTGAACCCCCAAAACCCCAAAACCCCCTAAACCCAGCCTCAGCGCCCTCCTCCAGCCCTTTGTCTTGCAGATACTGCTCGACGCACGGCTCCCCGCTGCCGTCGCCGTCCTCGAAGGTCACGGTGCGGAAGGCAGTGCCATGGTGCCGAGGGCAAGCCTGTGCGGTTTAGGGTTTAGGGTTTAGGGTTTAGGGTTTGGGGTTTGGGGTTTGGGGTTTGGGGTTTGGGGTTTGGGGTTTAGGGTTGAGGGTTGAGGGTTGAGGGTTGAGGGTTGAGGTACCCACCCTAAACCCTAAACCTTATATACCCCTCCAGCCCATACAACCTGTCAAGCCTATGAACGCGATAAAGCCCTGTAAGCCGAATAAACCCTAAAGCCTAAACCCTCTAAACCCGACAGAACCCTATGCGCCTGATACACCCTGCACCCTAAAACCTGAAAACCCCCAAAGCCCTAAACCAGCAAACCCTAAACCCCAATTAACCCCTAAACCTTGTAAACCGCATAAACAACAGACCCTTTAAACCCTAAACCCAACGTATAACCCCTCTAAACCTTAACGCGTTGGGGTGCTGCGGGGAAACGCGCCTGCAGAGCATTAAGGACGTGCTTGACGTAGGGCGACCAGAGTCGCCGCAGCCGCGCGTCCTGCATTGTTTGGACTGCGTGGGGTTCAGGGGTTCAGGGCTTAAGTAGTGTTTAGGGTTGTGGGTTTGGGTTCTGGGTTTGGGGCTTGTAGGCTTCCATAGCATTCAAGGGCCTGAGGGATTGCAGAATCTGCAGGGGTTGAGGGCTCTCGGGAGGTTTTGACGGAGGTGTACACACCCAAATTGGGCACCTTTGCTTCAAGATTCAGGTTTGCGAAACCCTTAACCCTTAACCCCAAACTTGGATGATCTAGGGGTGATGACTTAGCAGTCTCTGGTCCTGGCTCAGCATCGCCCGCATACACTCCGCATTGATTCGCGAGTGCAGCGTGTGGACGTGAATGGCGAAGATGGTCTGGGGGGAGGCGGCTGAGCCCTCGGCGATGGACTTGAGCACGAACAGCTTTGCGGCCTGGTGGATATGAAGCAAGGACTTTGGGGGTTCGTTTAGGCATAGTTCGGGTTGGCTTAGGGTTGGGGCTTAGGGTTGGTTTGGGGTCTTCTCAAAGCTTGGGATCATCCTATCTGCCCATTACCTGAAGAGGAGAAAAGAAACCCAAAGAAAGTCCCTACTGCTAGCG